TATCTGAAAGGTAATTGATCTAAAATTGGGAAGGTTTCCACGAACGCCAAGGTCGTGAAGATCTTTCATGATGCCATACTGCCATGCAGTATCTCTGATTTGACCCCAGTGACTTTGAAAATGAGTTAAGGTTATCCATTGGATCAAACGTTATAGCCCTTCAGTACAACATGCTATTTGCCAAATAGTATCACCTAAACTTACTGGTTATTCTAAACATGGACCTAAACGGTCACCCGAGTAAATTCTGAAGTACTTGAATGATAGCATTTTTTTTTTTAATTGGCAGTTATTTGGAGAGCGGGCAGACACCCATTACATGTTATATGTTACATTTAATGGATTATGTACAGATGAAGTTGTAATGTCCTAGTCAATCACAGGCCGGGGGGTCATCTGGAATTTTACAATCAGCATGAGAAGTAACAAACTTGGTCGAAACCTCATAAGGAACACTCCTACAAAGTTAGAAGTCAATCGGTGTAGCCTTTCTGGAAGAGGAGTCAAAAACATCTCAGTCAATGAGAGGCCAGGGTGACCATCTTGGATTTTCTGATAGGCACAAAATGCAAGAACACTTGTTCGGAACCTCATTACGAACATTTATACAAATAAAGAAGTGAATTGCTGCAGATAATCTTTAGAAGTCGAACATTTCTCGTCTCTGCAAATCAGAGGCCATGATAGGCCTTGTTGTAATCTCCGATTGGCAGTAGCTCTGCCAGTTACTATCTGATGGGGCCCATTTTCTAACTTGTCCGATATCTTTTTAATTTAAAGCAGCATAGCAAAGTCATCGAAATCTATTCAGATTTACTTAAGTTATTGTGGCCACAAGCTTCGAATAGTAAGTATATCAATGTCCCGTAACTCTGCCAATTATTGTCTGATCGGGACCACTTTCGAACTCATCCCAGATCTTATTGATATTAAGCAGCATAGCAAAGTTTATCGAAAGCCATTCCCTTTTACTGAAGTTATCGTGCTCGCAAGCTCAAGTCCCATATGCTTCAATAGTAATTAATGTTTCGAAGTCCCATTACTCTGCCATTTACCGTCTGATCTTGACCATTTTCAAACTTGTCCAAGATCTTACGGATGCATAGCAAAATTCATCGAATTCCATTCTCTTTTACTCACGTCATCGTGCTCACAAGATAAAAGTTAACGCACGACAGACGGAAATTGGTCACCATGACCTATAAAAAGGCGACCTAAAAATGAAAGTTGACGACTGACCGACGACACGCCACAGTACAAGGCCAAACAAAACAAGAGGCCCAATGGGCCCGCATCGCTCACCTGGTATTTGGACTAAAGTACAGCTACAGGCAGAATATCAGTGTTTGATTCATAAGAACCTATTAAAAGATTTAAACATATGATGCCTGTGACCTTGAATGTCGAATAAGGACATTAGGTTGAAAGTGGGTCAAGGTCATTCATTTGACGAACATGGTAGCCCTTCGTCCTAGCAAGCTACAGGCCCAATATCAGTATCCTGCGCCTTTTGGTTATTGAGAAGTTGCTTGAAGATTTTACATTTTACCCCCGTGACCTTGAAAGTAGGTCAAGGTCATTCATTTGAACAAACTTGGTAGCCCTTCATCCCAGCATACTACTTGCTAAATATCATCACCCTAGGCCTTTTGGTTATTGAGAAGATGTTGTTTAAAGTAAAATATTGACGCCGGACGCCGCACCACGGCATAAGCTCACTTGGCCCTTTGGGCCAGGTGAGCTAAAAACGTGATTTTTACCAGATACATTTCTGGAAAAGTAGGTTAATGTTCATTTTTTTAATTAACATAATATAAGAGAGTAATCTTTGCTTTAATAGTGCTTCATTAAAAATTGCAAAAAAAATAGGGAAACTTGAGTAAAGTATAACTTTAAGTTCATTCCTACCAAGTTTAAGTTAAATGGGCCCAGTAGAACTTGACGTTAAGTTAGAAATGTTGTTTCACAATGGGGGCGTTGGTGGCCATATTAGATTTCTGATCGACCAAAAAAATAACAACATTCCTACCAGTTTCAGTGAAATTGGCCAAGTAGAACTTGACTTAAGTTAGAAATAGTTTTTTTTACAGCTGCCAGCCATATTGGATTTCTAAATGACCCGAAAAACAACATCACTTTTTCAAGAACATAAGTTGATCATTCCTATAAAGTTTCAGTTAGATTGGCCCAGTAGAAATGGTTTTTCAAAATGGCAGCCATATTGGATTTCTGATCGACCCGAAAAATAACAACACTTGGTCAGGGAGTTGTCAGCATTCCCATGAAGTATCCATGAAATCCCTTTGACAGTATTTCAGCTTAAGTTGAAAATTTAAAATGTTAACGGACAACGACGGATAGCAATAGGTCATTTGAGCTAAAGCTCAGGTGACCTACAAAAGGTTCAACCCACCCCCCTTCAAAATCCAAGGGTTCTGCTATGATAGACATATCTTATCTCAACCCTTTAATTGTCATGGCAAAATAGAAGGATATCAGTAGGTTTCATTAACAAGAGGCCCAATGGGCCTACATCGCTCACCTGTTATTAATCTAACCCTTGTAATCTTAAGATTTCATAAGAACCTATTAAAAGATTTAAACATATGACGCCTCTGACCTTGATTGTCGAACAAGGACATTAGGTTCAAAGTGGATCAAGGTCATTCATTTGAACAAACTTTGTAGCCCTTTATCTCAGCATGCTACTGGCAAAATATCATTACCCTGGGCATTTTGGTTATTCAGAAGAAGTTGTTTAAAGGTTTTTTAATACAATTGACCCCTGTGACCTTGAAGATTTTACATTTTACCCCCGTGACCTTGAAAGTAGGTCAAGGTCATTCATTTGAACTAACTTGGTAATCCTTCATCCCAGTATGCTACAGGCTAAATTTCAGTACCCTGGCCCTTTTGCTTATTGAAAAGAAGTCGCTTGAAGATTTTACGACATTTGACCCCTGTGACCTTGAAGATTTTACATTTTACCCCCGTGACCTTGAAAGTAGGTCAAGGTCATTCATTTGAACTAACTTGGTAATCCTTCATCCCAGTATGCTACAGGCTAAATTTCAGTACCCTGGCCCTTTTGCTTATTGAAAAGAAGTCGCTTGAAGATTTTACGACATTTGACCCCTGTGACCTAGAATATAGGTGAAGGTCATTTATTTGAACCGACTTTGTAGCCCTTCATCCAAGCATGCTACAGGCCCAATATCAGTACCCTGGGCCTTTTGGTTATTGAAAAGAAATTGTTTGAAGATTTTAAGACATCTGACCCCAGTGACCTAGAAATTGGGTCAATGTCATTCATTTAAACAAACTTGGTGGCCCTTTATCCTAGTATGCTACTGACTGAATATCATCACCCTGGGCATTTGGGTTATTCAGAAGAAGTTGTTTAAAGGTTTTTTAATACAATTGACCCATGTGACCTTGAATATGATTCAAGGTCATACATTTAAACAAACTTGGTAGCCCTTGATCCTAGTATGCTAATGACTGAATATCATCACCCTGGGCATTTAGAAATAGTTTTTTTTACAGCTCCCAGCCATATTGGATTTCTGATCGACCCGAAAAATAACAACACTTGGTCAGGGAGTTGTCAGCATTCCCATGAAGTATCCATGAAATCCCTTTGACAGTATTTCAGCTTAAGTTGAAAATTTAAAATGTTAACGGACAACGACGGATAGCAATAGGTCATTTGAGCTAAAGCTCAGGTGACCTACAAAAGGTTCAACCCACCCCCCTTCAAAATCCAAGGGTTCTGCTATGATAGACATATCTTATCTCAACCCTTTAAATGTCATGGCAAAATAGAATGATATCAGTAGGTTTCAATAACAAGAGGCCCAATGGGCCTACATCGCTCCCCTGTTATTAATCTAACCCTTGTAATCTTAAGATTTCATAAGAACCTATTAAAGGATTTAAACATATGACGCCTCTGACCTTGATTGTCCAACAAGGACATTAGGTTCAAAGTGGATCAAGGGCATTCATTTGAACTAACATGGTAGTCCTTCACCCCAGCATGCTACAGGCCCAATTTCAGTACCCTGGCCCTTTTGCTTATTGAAAAGAAGTCGCTTGAAGATTTTACGACATTTGACCCCTGTGACCTAGAATATAGGTGAAGGTAATTTATTTGAACAAACTTTGTAGCCCTTCATCCAAGCATGCTACAGGCCCAATATCAGTACCCTGGGCCTTTTGGTTATTGAGAAGAAGTCGTTTAAAGTAAAATATTGACGCCGGACGCCGCGCCACAGCTTAAGCTCACTTGGCACTTCGTGCCAGGTGAGCTAAAAACCTGATCAACTGCTTGGCCGATACCAGTCCTTTGAAGACGCAGGAGAGAAATATAACTACAAAGCCTGCAGTTTTACCTTTATGCCACCACACAATTCCCTTTGATTTTCATTTAGACTTTAGACCAGACTAATAATTGTACATGTGTTTTCCGCAAGGTGTCTCCTGATGAACCTTTGATTTTGTCGTGACATATTCCAGGGGTGAAAAGCTACTGTTATGCGTGTCAAAGACTAGATAACCCTTGGATTTCGAAAATGATGGTGATACTGCACGGAAGTATCATGAACCATATCAGGTTATCAGGGTTGTACAGTTTCACGTTTGGAATACTAGTTGGCAGGTTTTATTCCTACATATCCATTGTAAATATTAAGTTTTGCTAGCCCCAACAAGGGGTCTAAATATTAGGCTAGTGGAATTACACATTCCTGGCACCAGGATCATGAAAAGTCTGGACTCGAGTTCATTTTTTTTTATACGAAAGTTCAGTTTCAGTTAAGATTTTGTTTAACAGGTTTCATGACCAACTTAAGACTGATCTTAGCCAAGTCAAAACTTAAGTTCAAATTTTATCTTGGTCTTAAGTTGTTTCATGTTCCAATCGCCTGATCGCAAGAAAAGAAAGTGGATGATTGGTACATAATTATCTTTTAAATTGAAAACATAACAAAAGCACTTCATGTTTTTTTCCTTTGTTTTATTTACAGCTTACTTCAAGTCCTTCACAGCCAGACCTGTAAATATAAAGAAATAAGTATAAGATTGAATTATGATACCGTGGAGATGATGCATTAACATCCAAGCAGGGCATATACACTTGTAACTGACATCACCATTGCATCAAACCAAGACATATTAATAAAATCATTTGCAATAACTACTTATATAACGTGTTTCAAAACCTTCCATTACAGACTTATAGAATTAAGATGCCTCAGTTCTCCGAAGTTAAGCTTGTTGTATTCATTGTGTTTACACAACACTCCCATAAGAGGTGTCAAATGTTGGGTCATCATCGGCATCTTGTGACAGGAATTACTAAGGTGTTATTGCAATAAACAACGGTATATTGTCTTGGTTATTCTATGACATCATGTTTAAAAAATTTAAATCTTAATAATCGCAGCATCGACAAGGAATATAAGGCATCAGTAAATTTAAACTTTGTATTAAAAAGAGATCACACCACTTCTAATATCAAATAAAATGTCCTCCTTTTATGTAACGTTTTCAAGACATGGCCAAGTTAAAAAGGTTGTCAAGTGTGAACTTTGACACTTTAACCTATAAACACCAAACTTACCAGATATATTTTGGTGTAAATATGAACCGAACCTATTAAGGGGTTGTTGAAATCTTGTGTCTGGTACACGATCTTATTTACAATGCAAAAGGAATCCAATTTGGACTACAAAAATACCTAACCCCTGATTAAAACTGTACCCATTTGTACAGTAAAACATGGCCACTCTCAGTTCAGTACATACAGTACCTTCCTCTTCATTTTGTAGGGATGTAATTATTTCTTTCATAGTATTGGGATTTTCTTCAGAAGTGACTTATTAAGCTATTGTCATTCCCGTATTCAAACATACAATGGCAGTGGAAAAGAATTTCTTGATGTAAACGTGAACATAACATTTTAACAACAAATAGCAGCAGTATCTCTCATTATCTTCCCATATGACTTCCCTGATATGTGTACCCTTAAAAATTGATTTTCATGAAGGCTTATTTTTTTTATTTATTAATTTGACCTATAAATAAATTATTAAGATTTTCCTTCCTTTACATTTTCATGCAATTATTAAAGTACATCAAGATGCCTCAGTTCTCCGAAGTTAAGCTTGTTGTATTCATTGTGTTTACACAACACTCCCATAAGAGGTGTCAAATGTTGGGTCATCATAGGCAACTTGTGTATGTTGAATAAGCTTGAATACTTTGCAATGAAAAAAGATATCCTTTCCCACGCGAGTATCAAATATTTATTTTATTCATATGCTCTATGACATCAGAATTATGAAACAACCAAAATCTTCAATTGAGACCTGTTGCTATAGATGAGTATCACTCCATTTCAAATACATGTTCTTAAATTGTTACCCAACATCACAACTTCATGTTTTTTATGGACTATATGGGGTTATAGCCAAAATGTTCATTGGTTAAGTAGTTATAACATTTTTCTTCAAAACGTTTTACATGTGTGTATATGGGAAACAAATGCCATCTTTTCTAGTGTTTGTCTATGTAATTAGCATCAAATTAAGAGAGAAACAAAATTTTGAGTAGGTAAAATAATGCCACACCAGACATCTTATCAGTACTTGTATTTCAAGAACCTTTTAACCAATCTTACATGTCACAAGACTGCTTCAGGTCTCTAAAGTTAAACCTGTTGTATTGTGTTCATACAACCAAATACATAGATGTATGCCTCGGTTCTCCGAAGTTAAGCTTGTTGTATTCATTGTGTTTACACAACACTCCCATAAGAGGTGTCAAATGTTGGGTCATCATCGGCAAGTTATGTATGTTGAATAAGCTAGAGTTATTGCAATGCACAAACATATTCTATCTCAACCGAGTACCATTTAATATTTCAATCCCACGTTCTATGACTTCAGAAAAATAAAACCATCAAAATCTTCCAATGAGACATGTTGCAATCGATGAGGATCACTCAATTTGCCTGTTTCAGGTTACAGCCAAAATCAAAATTGGGTAGGTAGATTGTCATCTTTTTTTCAAAATCTTTTGCATATGTATATGGGGAACAAATGGCATTTTTGCTAGTGTGTCTACAGTAGGCAAAACATTTCCAGGGAAAGCAACAAGATTTAGGGTAGGTCAAGTAATTTGACCCGTTTCTATATTTAGTCTAGTTCTATGTATCATCAGGATTTAAATTTCTTTAGTCTATTAAAACCAATCTATTTTCTTCATAGTATCCATTACAACTAATAATAATTTAAAACACAAAGATGCCTCAGTTCTCCAAGGTTAAGCTTGTTGTATTCATTGTGTTTACACAACACTCCCATAAGAGGTGTCAAAAGTTGGGTCATCATCGGCAACTTGTGTATGTTGAATAAGCTAGAATACTTTGCAATGCACAAACATATACTATCTCAATTGAGTACCAAATATATATTTCAATCACACATTCTTTGACTTCAGAATAATACCATCAAAATAAAACAAATGCTGCCTTTTCTAGTGTTTGTCTATATAATTGGTGACAAATCGAGAGAAAGTAACAAAATTTTGGGTAGGTATATTAATGCCACACCCAATATTTTATCATCAGTACCTGTACTTCAAGAACCTTTTAACCAATCTAGTGTCCTTTCTGTGGTGCTGTTCTAACATGTCACAAGACTGCCTCAGGTCTCTTAAGGTTAAGCCTGTTGTATTGTGTTCATACAACACTCCCAAATAATCACGTTAGCATTATTTCTAGATATTTCTCATTCTGTTTTCAAATGTTTTTAAACGGCTAAAGAAACCCCAATATCGACTACGAGAATGACCAAACCCTCTTGATATACTAAGATATATTTGTACGGAAAAACATGGCCCATCTCAGTTTAGTACCGTAACTTTGCTGATAACACATGTCCTCGGACATTCATCTGAGGGATAAGTTGGTTGTCATCACTGATAAGCCAAGTTCTTAATTATCAAAATCCCGTGCGCAAAACACACCAGTATTTTCTACAAAAATATAATTAAAACTAAATATTTAACCATCATATACATAATGTATCATAAAGTGATGATGAAAGCAACAGTATTCTGTTGTTTTTTTCTGATGATTTTCTGCATACACATTCTTACAAAGAAATCTGTTTTCACAAAGAGAATCAAAACCATTATTAAGACAATGGAATGAAGTTAGTGACTTAACATTCTAATTAACAAATTTTAACACGTTGATGCCTCAGTTCTCCAAGGTTAAGCTTGTTGTATTCATGGTGTTCACAAACACTCCCATAAGAGGTGTCAAATGTTGGGTCATCATCGGCAACTCGTGTCAGGAATTACTAAGGTGTCGATGCAATAAAGATACATTGTCTCGGTTAAGTACCCTACTTTTGTTCTCAAAATATATATTCTACATCAGAATAAATAAAATATATAAAATCCTCAGTTATCACTGCTATTGACTAAGCACTATTATAGGCATCACTCAATATAAATGCATTTTGTAATAAAACCCCTTTATGTTACCTTGACCCAATAAATACCAAAATATAGCCAGGTGTAGAACTTGTTGTTACTATAATATGGTGTAAATATGAACTGAATGTGTTGAGGGTTCATGAAATATCTTGTACACAAGGTATTTACAATGGGTACCCGGAGCAGTTACTCATATATCTCCCTCCAACATCCCTACAAGAGGTCTAAAATGTGGGGTTATGGGTACTCAGAGCAGTTACTTATATATCTCCCTCTAACACCTCTACAAGGGGTCTAAAATTTGGAGTTATCATCACAGCCATAACATGCATATTTGTTTAACATCTCTAAATCTGTTCCAAGTGTTTTTCAAGGGCAAAATGAATCCAAATTTTGACAACAAAAATACCCAGCCCACAACTCATATATCTTGAACATTTTTTTATTTGTCTGGAAATACATGGCTCATCTCAGTTTAGTACCGTAACTTTGCTGATAACACATGTCCTCGGACATTCATCTGAGGGATAAGTTGGTTGTCATCACTGATAAGCCAAACTACCATCTTGTTATATTACAAGCGTTATCTTTCAACACATGAAAAGTAACATCTAAGTATTCCTAATGCACTACAGTCAAAACACAGGAGAATTCCATTGTTAATGTTCTAACACACAGCAACCTCCCCTTCATTTTGTATGGACATTACTGTATGGGACTGCTAACTTGGTTACTTCTGTCATAAAGGTCCCACAAAGTACTGGGTGCTATTGTCATGTATTCAAACGTTAACGTGAACATAACATTTTAACAACAAATAGCAGCAGGATCTTTCACCATCTTCCAATATGACTAACTCTTAAAGATTAATTTTCACAAAAGTACACAAAATGGATTTATAAATATTTTCCTTCCTTCACATTTCCTTGCAATTATTATAGTACATCAAGATGCCTCAGTTCTCCGAAGTTAAGCTTGTTGTATTCATTGTGTTTACACAACACTCCCATAAGAGGTGTCAAATGTTGAGTCATCATCGGCAACTTGTGTATGTTGAATAAGCTAATATACTTTGCAATGCACAAAGATAGTGCATCTCAGTTGAGTACCAAATCTATATTTCAATCACATGTTCTATGACTTCAGAATAATAAAACCATCAAAACCTTCTATTTAGACCTGCTGCTATTGATGAGGATCACTCCATTTTAAATACATGTACACACTATTGTCCAACACCAGTCTTTAAGTGTTTTATATGGCCCATTTCGAGGTTTAGCCAAAATGATAACTGTGTACGTAGTTAGTCATTTTTATCCCCAAAACCTTTTATATGTCAATTGGGAACAATGGCAACTATTGCCACTTTTGTGTCTAAAACTGACATAAAATCTCCTGGGGAAGTAACAAACTTAGGGTAGATAAAATAATTCTATACAATTCTATATACGTTACCTAGTTCTATACATATATCATCAGCTCTTGAATTAGAGCCTTAAAACTAATCTTGTATAAAATGTAATGCCATCAAAACCAGTGGTACTGG